CACGTCTCACCCGGAGCGGGAGGGGTGTACCCACACCGACCACCACCACGACCAGAAACCTGATTGCGCCGGCCGCCGCGTTGCGAGCGACCGGCACGAGAGGATTGAGGCGGCGTCGGAGAAGGTGGCGACTGCACAAGCATGGCCGTGGGCTGAAGGACCGGCTGTTGGGCGTGAAGAAGCATCTCATACGAAGCTAACTGTCCAAGGAGATCTTGATAGGAGGGGGGTTCGGATCGCTGTTGCAGAGCTCCAATGATTCCATTGAATTCGGCACCAAGCTTGCGGAAGATTATGGCATTAAACTCCGCAGGAGATATGCGATGGCCGGTAAGCTGCAGTGTATCGGCGATGCCCTTCGCTTTGGAGAGGAGAGCCGTGACCGACAAGTCACCTTTTTGCAAGCTGTGGAGCTCCATAACAAGCTGGGTCTGTTGAGCATAAGAAAGAGTGTCGAAACCCTGCTGAAGAGCTGTCCATGCAGCCGCCGATGTTGTGCAGCCCTGGAGAACGGGAAAGATCTCTTCAGCAACGGAAGAAAGAATCCAAGAGAGGACCAACTGATCCTTTTGCTGCCAGATATCAAACTCAGGATTGAGTTGGGGCACGGCACCACTAACGAAAGGAAGAAAACGTGGCGGTGCAGGTTCGGTGCCGTCGACAATACCGGCAACACGAAACATAGTCAATAAAGGAGTAAATTGAAGACGCCAAGACGAATAGTTGGCCCAAGATTGCAGCTTCACAGTAAAGGAATGATTGAGAGATTGCATACTAAGTTGAAGAATTGATACTGATGTCTGTGAAGAAGATACCGGTGACCGAAGATGAGTAGCCTGGTCGGCGGATGAAAGGTCGGTGATAGTCATCGTTGAAAGTAAGCAAGCAAAACTGAATTTTTTATGATTTGATTTTTTTTTTTTTGGTTTTTTTTTTTTGTTTTATTAAACAGCACCAATCACCGAGAACAAACGAGCAGCGGCGGCGGCAGGGAGGGTTGGATGGGAGAAAGCGACGACGCCGGCAGCAGCAACTGTGGAAGACAGAGGAAGAAGCACCGACGACGCCGACGACGAAACACACGCCGAACTACGAACCACGCCGAAGAACCTGTGTGGGGCGGTGAAGAGCAGCAGCAGCAAGGGCGCAAACTACGACGACGCCGAGATCGGGCAGACAACAGCAGCAGAAAAGGCACGCCGAATCGACGAACCGGCAGCAGCAAAACCAGCAGGAGCAGCAGAACCAAACGGCGGCAGCAGCAGGTGAACGGCGGCAGCAGCAGGTGAACGGTGAACGGCAGCAGCAGGTGAGCAGCAGGTGAGCGGCAGCAGCAGCAGGGGAGAAGAAGAAGAGGTCTGGGCGAAGAGCAGAAAAAAGCAGCCGACGACGGCGGATGGGGTGTGAACGGCCGAAGAAGAAGGATTCGGCGGGGGAGAGAAAAGAAAAAAAATAGGTTTTGTTAAACCTAGCTCGATACCAACTTAGAATAGGGAAATTGTATTTGATTCATGATATATTGTGCACAATATACAGACTATATATAGACAATAACAAACCCTAAAGTAGAACATAATAGGAAATATACTAAATATTACAATAGCCAACAATATGAGAAGAACTAGAAGAGAAAAGAAGATAATGTACTCATGGGACAGAAGAGTCTTTATTGAGATGGCAAAATCTTTTGGATGAAAGTTAAAATTGCATTAAGGGTGCTAAATTGCGTGAGTTCATGGAAGGAGTGCGAGATATGTGCAGATATAATAGAAGAGCCGTGGCCCCGAAACAATTTATTATACTAGTAAAAAATATAATAATGAGCCGTGGCCCCTAGCAACAAAATGAAAACGGTGAACTAGACTTTTTGGAAAAGATAATTTATTTTATTTAATTTATTGATAAGCTCAAGTTGTAAGCTCCTGTGTCATTAGATCGACCAAACTTTGTAGTAGCACAACTGATCTCTAATTAAGGAGTAAAACAATCTTACAATTCACGAGAATGCCTCACAAGACTTTTTGCTTAGTTATTTTTCAAGTGATTCTCAAAATAAAAATAATTGCTTCAGTCATTTCATTATAGAAGATCAATAATCTATACATCCTCTAGGTAATGGGAATTCATAGTACTGTAAATAATTTGATCTGACATCGTCTACAAAATATAAGGACACCAGGTGCAAATTGGACTGAAATTAAATTTATAGTTCAAAAATTGCATTATGTATGGATCGACAAGTTAGAGTGATTGTTTTGGCTAAGTTAGCCGCAATTCATCTGATTCTCAACTGGGTTTTTAGGACAAATGAAAAGGCGTAAGAAGGATTGAAAATTAACATGTTATTGTAACTTCATCCGACCGTGATTTCACCAAATTCATGTTATTGTAAGATAGAGTACAAAATGCTACCAAATCAACTCTATCTAGAATGAGATCAACCAGACAACTCTATGCCTGAATTCAACTCTACCAAATCAACTGATAGAGTACAAAATGCTACCAAATCAACTCTATCTAGGATGAGATCAACCAGACAACACTATGCCTCAATTCATTCAAGTTCCCTAGAGTATTTGGCAATGAATAATTAATCCAACTAGAATGCGATGCATATTTCTTCACATTACCGGCAGCCAAGACAGATAATGTGGTTTCTTATGCCTGATTCAGCATCACATTACCGGCAGCCAAGACAGATAATGTGGTTTCTTATGCCTGATTCAGCATCAACCGCAAGGAAGCATCTTTATCTGGGTTGATAAGGACAAATTGTAATTTCTGTAATACGAGAATGGGATACGAGAATGCCAATGCACTTTGCGTGTAAGTTGTATTACCAAATCCAGATCTGAGCAATAGCAATGAAATATGGCTTCCTTCTTCTAATCCAAACAAGTGTATATCGAGCCTCATCAACATCCAGACCTACTTTAGCAACCATTGCCATTTTAACTAAGGCTAAGAAAAGTATGAACCTGAATGCAAAAACTCCTGTTTTAAAAAAGCTTCCAAGCTATCCGAATTCACAAGATTCATCTCTTTTGGCGATGGGAGTAAATCAGCAAAACCATAGAAGTGAATTCTCGGAGATCTGCCAAATCTTGTAACGTAGACTCATGAAATGAAAGCCTCGGATCAAGTTAAAAAAACCATATCACATATAAAACCTACAAAATTCATATATATCCACACACAGACATTAGTAATTGGAAAAACAAAACCCCTAGAAGTTAATTTGTAAAACTGTATATTTTCACTCCAAAGCTGCTGAAGGAGTCAAATTGCTAAGAAATGAAATCCTGTTCGGCGCTGGTTGCCAAACCGTGTTTATATAGGTTGGTTGATAGGGCACCTTGACTGCTTGGTCTTTAATCGTGATGGGTCTTTGGTTACAAATGTTTTGCGGCCTATTAAAATATGTCATTGGATTGGGTCCAGTTGTTGCAGATCAAGTCCAAAATAGTTTACATTTTGCCTTTTGCCATGATGTTTTCATGCATTTGACTATTTTGGTTTTTTTTAAAAAAAAACAAATTAATGCAATTTATGATTATTATCTTTATCTTTACATTCGACGCAATTATATACCAATGGTCCTACTAACGTCCCAAACATCACTACCAAAAAAAAAAAAAGTCGATTGCTTTTTTTTTAATTATTATTTTAATAAGTAGTGTAACAGGTCACATGACCCAAATTGCGTAATGTCTACTAAAATCGAGTTGCAATAGACAATAAGATATTTAAAATAGTACTATTAAATTGTCATTTAATAATACACTTTGAAGTGACCCATTAAGCAAGCTAATAGTACATACAAAATCTAAATAATACACTTATAATAGTGTTTGAAAATATGAACACACCTTTTCATTTTTCAATGAGACATTTTTCAAACAAATATTCCAATACACATATAGTGAGACACATTTTATTTTAGTGTATAATCCAAATCGACAAAGCTACGTTTCCGCTTCAGATGTTTAATAAGTACCTCACCCGATCTGTTAAAACCCCTTTGAACTTGAAAAACAGGTGAAAGACATTATCACACATTAGAGTAGGGAAGTCTACTTGATCAACATATATACCCCATGTGCTACTCCCCTCATTGCCAATCCATTGTACTTAATTAAAGCAACCTACAACAAGGACACGTGTCAGCTTCACATTAAAAATTTTCCCGCCAAAGTTACTTTTCAGTACAAAATGAAAAATGCCACGTGGCTCATCAGATGAGCAGAAAAATGATGTTTGATAAAAATTTTTCAGGAATTTATTTAAGAAACTAAAAGAAAAAATAACTACCAAAGTTATATCCCTAAAATTTTGAAAAACTACCAAAGTTATATCCCTAAAATTTTGGCCGTCCGAATCAATCTCATAATTACAGTATATGTATCCGAATCAATCTCATAATTACGGTATATGTATATCAATAAATGTAAGTAAGGTTGGTAATAAACAGTAAATAAAAAGATGATTAGTAAAAATTCTGTTTATTACAATACAATTATATCATGCATCCAGATATGTGTCATTAGCAAATTTTACTGCATCGTCATCCGTTTGATTCCCTGAAATCTGCCTTAATCATCTCTTTTCCATACATTGTTGCTGCAAGTATACGGTAAAGATCAGATAATCTTCCCAAATAACAGTTTTGAATTTTATAAATTACATATTCAAATTAAATTAAATAACAATTCATAACAAGTCCATATCCTTACCATCAGTGATTGATTGATTGATTGATCCATGTTTATCTCCTTAAAAATCAAAATCTTACCTTCAGAAACAGTCATTCAGTTAACATCAGAATCAAAGAGATATGCTTACCTACAGATTTTCATGGAATTGAATATCACATGCTCTGTATATATATAATTTGATAGAGATATGTCATACTCACCAAAACCTGCGACCATTTATTCTAAAGCTCCATTGTTGTTTCTGTTTCCTATTCAACAGAAACCCCTACTGTTTCTGCAACTCCCATGTCTTCATCAGAAGACCCCACTGTTTCTGCAACTCCCATGGCTTCATCAGAAACCCCCACTGTTTTTGCAACGCCAATGGCTTCATCAGAAATTCCTGAGGTTGATTCTCACAATCAAAACTATCCTGAAAATCCAATTTCTGGATCTGCAACCCACAATGTTTCTAATTCAGTGGAAACACATACACCTGTTCTTGATTCTGAAAAACAACACCATGCTGAAAAACCACTTGCTGGAAATCAAACACCTCCTAATGTTGATCAGACATTTCCAACAGGATCTGCACAAAGGTACATTGCTGACATCAATGGCTTGGTACCAACCAAAACTATCCATTTCCACATAGTTGTTCGTGTTATGACCATCTGGAAAATGATAGAGAATAAAAACAAGAATGTCAAATCTGTTGAGTTGGCATTGATTGATGCTCAGGTATTATATTATTTAATACAGTTTTCAACATCAAACAATGTTTTACTCATGAAGAAGATGCAATTCTTATATGCTTATTTGTCCAAACTTTTTGAAATATAGGGATCCAAGATTCAGGCTACTATACCTGCGAGGATAATGAAAGATTTCCAGAAGTATTTCCTTCAAGAGGGCTGTGCCAGGAAGATATCACGTTTTGATCATTGCCTGAATATAAGTGGGGGATACCAGTGCTCAAAACACGAATACAAAATTGTATTCCGACCTGATACAATTGTTCAATCTGTTGGTTACCATGACATCCCTAATCATGTATTTGAATTTACCCCTTTTGCAGAAATTACCAATTTTGTTGCAAATTTTGACTTCTGTTTTGGTAAGGACAACATCTTTCAGCATTTAGTATAATATTTTCCTTATGTATCTATTAAGCAAACATGCAAGTATGAAAAATATGCATACATATATCTCAGATTTGTTGGGACACATAATTGGTTACAGTGATCCAATTATTGATAATGGTAAGAAGAGGATTTCGGTCGAATTGGAAGATGAAAGGTAAGTGATTTTACCAATGTATATAATTTGAATACGTATGTATGTAAAAATATTCTTATTCAATTCAGTATGCATAAGTGATTTTAACTATATTTACATTAATTGTAGGGCCGATAGGTTAAAGGTCACATTATGGGATGAGCACGCAGACAAGGTGTATACCATGATGACTAATAATCCTGATTACCCTGTTGTCCTTATTGTTCAGTATGTCAAATGCAAAAAATACTACTGTAAGTATATTTCGTTTTAAAGCATATCTTTGTTTGTTGACAACAAATTTCAGCAGTTTTAGTGACACATCTATACTCTAATCTGATCCAGCTAAAGTTTTAATCACAACAAATCTGTTCAATGGTAGGATTTTCCTAAATGACATGACCATTCCAGATATATACGAATACAAATTCAGGTAAAAGAAAATTATTATCACAGTTTATAGAAATACTTAAATGAAACCATCCATGCAGTGTCAAGTAATGAACTCACCTTCACAGGGTTGATCAGGCAGATATTAGATCTGCAAGCATCCATAAGATATCCATGCTATCTTCCATTTCAGGATACACAAATTTCGATGAATTTGTGCGTGATGCTGAGATGTTGACACTGGCTGGAATTGATGATTTGGAACAGGTAACATGTTAATATATACTTTCAAGCCATTACAAAGTAAGGTTACTGCTATATAATATGTATTCATATCTTACCCTGTATTGTCATATTTTACAGCCATCAGGTGTTGTTGTTTTTGCAAAGATATCTGGATTGGCAAAAGAGTATGACTGGTCATACATAGGCTGTAGCAACTGTAACAGTAAGGTTGTTGAGATTGAATCATCTGCAAAGGAAAACCTCACTGGTGGTAAACAACGGTCGGCCTTTGGCAAAGGTAGAAAAGTAGATAATGAAAAGCCAGTTGGACTAGCAAAGAGATGGATGTGCAAAAACCATGGACCTGTTTCTGCCGTCGCTGCAAAGTAAAACAACTATAGTCACGTTATATAGTTTATAATGTTTTTCATATTAAAGTCTACTTGATTCTCTATGTTTATTGTACTTTGTACAATCTGTAACTGCTGCACAAATTTCAGATTCAAGTTGTAAGTGTATTTAGTTGATGATTCAAGCAGCAGAATTGGTACTCTATGGGACAGAATGATGTATAACTTCAGAAACAAGACCGCTTCTGTGCTACGTGAAGAGGTACAAATTATATACCATTACAGGGATAATTGTTTCTATACAACTGTAATTGTTGCATACCTTTCAAGTTATTGATTATTATCTTCTACTAATTTTCTAATGCTATAACAGTATCCCAAAGGTTAGCCTGACATTCTAGATGAAATTGTGGGGAAAAAGTGTCTGTTCAGGCTAGATGTCTCAGACTATAACATTAGAAACAACACCAGTGAGATATCAGTTGCAAGGGTTACAACAGATGCAGACGTTATAAGGAAGTACCTTGATGCTGTTTCAGATGATCAGGTTTTAACTATAACATATATTTCTGTAACAATGTAATAACTGTTGATATTGTTTACAAGTCAAATTATTTCATACATTTTGCAGGAAATAGATCCTGAGCTAAGTGCCGAATTCTGCCATAATTTAACCCCATTATCTGAGAGCACTGCTAAGGTATTTGATAGCAACAGTTTATGTAATGTAGAAATAAAACATACATATTACTGTAAGTTAACAAGTTTGTTGACTTACTATTCCTTATGTTTACAGACAGCAGTTTCTTGCACTGACGATAATGATATGGGAGCTCCTGGAGATGAAACGGGTGACAGTCCTCCACCGAAGAAGCATGCATCTGCACAATCTGGCGAAGAAAGTGTCAAGTCCCAGCCCAACAAGCGTGTCAGAAAGCTTTAATCCGAATGAACAATTACAAAGAAGTTTATTGTCTTAAAAAAGGATTCATGTTGCAGACAATTTATTTCTCTTCACCGAATTTAGTTTTCATTTGGAACTTTATCATTTAATCCGTCTTTCTCCTGTGAGATTAGTACATCCGTTGGATTTTATCATGGTTGTTTCAAACTTATTTGTTTAAGTTTCATAATAGTATGCCGTATGATATTGGGATTTCCATTTTTGAATTATCGAGCTTGAGAATATTTTTATCCACTTTATATTTCTTATAATTTTTATGTTCCTTCTAACAATAGATCATTGCCTGCATATTTGCTTTTACTTCCTAATAAAAAGTGCAGGTTTCTGAAGTTGATGGATCATCATAAAGATCTTGGTAAAATTAGAGTATACATGCACTGGTAAGGAACATTGTATGTATTTATATTATGTACATATAAATACATGGTTTACTTGAAAGTGGAAAAATTTGATGACTTACTATGCTTTATATTTGCAGATTCCACTTTTGTGCTCTGCCTGTTCGTATAATGGACTTCCTGGAGATGAAACAGATCACATGCTCCACTGAACAGTTTATCATTTCCTAAATATAATGAATAAGTGTCAGTTTCAACTCGAACAAGCGTGTCATGTTGCACGCTACAAGTTTTTGTATCTTTGTATTAAAAGAAGGATATATTCATTAAGAGCAGATTCATTGTTACTACTGTTTAGTTTGTAGCTTACTTTTTCAGCCATTTCATTTGTTTTTCCTGTAATAAGTACACCTTTTAGGTAACGGAGGTTTGTTTTAAAAAGTATACAATCATGTTTTCAATGTTATCAAATAATATATGTCGATTTTAGAATATGAATTATTTGTAGTAAATTATTGGTTGTGTTCACTTTACACTTACCTGACAAAAACTAAATACAATTATATGTATACAAGTTATATTTCCAATATAAATTATTTAAAAACTAATGCACAGTTTAATATCAAATATATATTTTGATAAACAGAAAACATAAAGGCATTACATTAAAATATGATTCTCAGAATATTGATAAAATATTAGTTAAATTTAAACTGAATAGTTGTCATTATCAAAGACTGAAATACCAGTTTGATTTGGAATAGAATTCCTCCAAACTGACACATCTATTCCTAATTTTAAGGTACCTTAAATAGCTGTACAACATATCCAGACTATTTATATTCACACATAACGTATCTAGATCGTTACAAAGTTCTTTCTCCTTCTTTTCACAGTGTTTTTCATTCTAAGAACAGGCAGAATACAAGTTGCCATGGATTTTGGGTACGATCAACTTATTACTGTCCCAACAGACATATGGAGAAAGGGGTTGGTAAGTACATAACATATATTCTGCCTGTTTAATATATAATATATCATCCTGTTTCTAAGTTTTCTGATTTTACCAGATACTTAGCAGTAACCTTACTGCAAATATGAAGCATGTCGGTCAGCAAATAATGGTTGAATTCCAGGGAAAACAAACTGTCTTTGCAAATTTACATATTACGAAAAAAAGAAGATGTCAGTTGTGGGGGAATGCTCTAGAAGAATTATTTACATCCATTGGTGTATCTCCTCACACAAAAATTCACGTTGTTTACCATCAACAAAGAAAAGTTCTTCAGTTATTTTATTTTTTATTTGATGGAACACAGCGGCTCAGATCTGATCTAACTGCAAATATTGGCAGTCGTTACCTCTTGGAATTGAATCCAAACGTTGCCAATCGATCTGTAAGTTTTTTAAACCAGAATTTCATATATGGTACTTGGCTTTTAATCTGTTAATATATGGAATAACTTTATCATATGTTTTATCTTCCTCCTGACCTTAGGTTATTAACACACAGTACTTTAGAGCCATAAATTGGCCTTCAGAACAAAAACTTTCATTGGTAATTGATGATAATCAGAAGCAGTGGAAGTTTCAGATATATACCCAAGAACATGCTCTAGCAGGTTTTGAAGGCCTTATGTGGGAAGAATTCCATGATTTTTATTTTAACCACTATGAATGTGTAAATGTTATATTGATTTACACTGGAAACCAATACTTTAGAGTCAGGGTATTTAACAAAGAAGGGTACTGTATCAGCAATCATCAAAACACAGTCAGTTCAGACACATCTAAAGGTTTGTATAAGTTTACGTCAGCTGTTTACTACTGTGTATTTTATTATATATAAATTCATATATATTCCTATGTGTTTATATAAAATTCATAACAAGTGTAGTATTTTCTTCACAGGTGAGGTTGACATAATTAACTACATAAGGTCCAACAGTGATCAGAATACTTTCAATGTGGTTATGACCAATGATGTAATTAACAAAGGCCGACTGGTAAAAATTTGTGATCTGTTTTACTATTACATCTTACTTATACTATGTAACAAAAGTTTTTAAATTGAATTGTGTTTTTCATCAAGTTTAAATGTACTGACTCAATTATTTGCCACAGGAGATACCATGGCACATTGTCAGAAGATTGGACATTCAAGACTATCAATTGTTGATCCTATACTACGATGGAGAACCTATAATGAGTATGGTTCGTGCCAGTTCTGGAGATTTTCCACATAGATTCATTGTTCAAGGAGACCTCCAATATATGATGACTTTGAAAAGGATCCTAACTGGTATAAAACTCGGATTTCGTATAAACGCGCAGAAGGCAGCCAACAAGGAGTCATTGATATTGGAAGTTCTGTAATCAAGTTTAAGTGTAGTTTTTTTTTTTCATTTTCGGAGAATAAGTTAATTTTTTTTAATAAATTTCAGTACAATGATTTTCAACCTTTAGTTTATTTTGTTTTTGGACATTTATTTGGTGATTACACATATATTTTTATGTCAACAATGTCATCAATCTATTTCCTTCAATTTTTCATGTACATATTAATAATATATTTCACTTTACAATTTTATTCACATATATATGACTTAATAATCTTATATTTTGGAAAATATTTTACTTTATTTAATATCATAAATTGTGTATTCCTGTAAAGATATAATTACCATATTTAAAATATATTTTCAATTAAGCTTTTATTCGTATCCATAGTACATAATTATTTTATAGTTTGGAAATATATTCTTTTATTTAATACCATGGATTGTATAATTCTGTAAATTTGTTAAGCACTATTATTAAAACTCCAGTCCTTTGTCAATTATTATTATAATATCCTGTATTAACTTCATTATAATTGATACTTATCAAAATGTTGTGATCTTTATCATTTACATATATAAGATAAGTTACTCAACCACTATCAATCATCAATATCAAACATATTATTCCTGAGAGAATTTCAGTAAAATATTAGGGGGTGTTTTCATAGTTATTCACTGGAGATTCTATACTCCATTGGTTTTTTAAGAAGAAGGAAAAATTATATGAACGACAATGAAGATTTCTGATACAAAGGCTGCAAGGTTATTCAGAAAGCAGACATTAGACAAGAAAAGGAATAGAGTTCTTCGACCTATAAGATATGTTAAAAGTAAAGTTCCTATAAGATTACCACGCCCTGATCTATTGACTGCTAAGATATCAAGGTATCAGAGGAAGAATATCTTATATCAGAGACGTTTCAGTTTAGTTATCAATAACCACTCTCCAGTCATCTCCAACAGGGAAAGACCATTTTCTGGAAAGGGTTCTCGATTGGAGAGGAAGAAACATCTTGATAAAAAGAAGGGCAAAGTTATTCATGAAGAACAACATGTTACCCTTGGTGGTATTGTTATAAGTCATTCCAACAATTTCACAGGAAATGTTTTCAGGAATACATTTTCACCAGAAATTAAGTCTACAGCAAGTGCTAATCAAGGTTTCAATTCCAATTCACAGTTACATAAAAATGTAACTAAAGTTAAAGGTACAGTTTATATTCCAAGTTTACCCTTTCTTTTCAAGTGTTTATTGTACTTAACAGTTACACAGACTGAATTGACATAAAAATAATACATACACCTAGAAAGTACTTGTATTTTTATGTTTCTTCATATGAAATCACATTGTCAGAATTCATCAGATGATTCAGCTGAGATTTTGTCTCCAGAATCATCTATAACCCATCGAAGCTCAGCCAGTCGAGTTAAACAGGGTTTGCAGCCTGGAAAGTATCAAATCAACCATATAAATTTCACTCACATAAATACAGGTAATTTTGAATCAAATCTAAATGCATATATTACTCACAGTAAGTATCACTTTTCTGACAATAACATGCCTCATTATTTGTGTTATGTAGAATATGATGATTTGGGAGATCCCACGTATGTATGTGGATATTGCGGATCGAATATGTGGTATGAAGAAAGAGTCAACAAGTACAGGAAACCTCAGCATCCTAAATTTTCTATATGTTGCAAACAAGGAAGAATACATCTTCCGTTGTTAACTGAACCACCTCCAAAGTTAAAAGCATTATTTCTTTCTAAAACTGAGAAAAGTATTCAGTTCCTGGAAAATATCCGAGCATATAATAATATGTTTGCTTTTACTTCTATGGGTGGTAACATAGTCAATTAATGATGGTCGTGGCCCTTATGTGTTCAAAATGCACGGACATAATAGCCATTTGATGGGTAGTTTACTTCCAGAAGATAATGAGAAGCCAAAATTTTCTCAATTATACATATACGACACCCAGAATGAAATTAGTAACAGAATTGGAGCTCTAAGGTACTTTCAATTTATTATATGCATAGTCAATTTTATGCTGTAATTATGCCACTATCCTTAATTTTTCATCGAAATTGCATGATGATGATTATGCATTCTCATTTAATTGCAGTTCAGGGAAAAAACATACAAAAACAAAGGAACTTGATAGTTAGATTGTAGACGACATAAAGTCAACAATGGATGAATACAATGTATTGGTCAAGACATATAGGAAGGTGCGTGACACTGTTCAGATAGACGGTTCACATGAGATTAGACTTACGCTAATTTCAACTAGAGATACTGATGCTCGAGCGCATAATCTACCTTCTGTGGATGAAGTAGCAGCTATATTACCAGGCGATGAAGGGAATGAAACTGAAATCAGGGACATTATTGTTCAGTACAAGTCTGGACAAATGCAACGTGTAAATGAGTTGCATCCTTCATATATTTCCCTCCAATATCCTATACTGTTTCCTTATGGTGAGGATGGGTTCCGTGTCAATATCAAACTAGGGGATCCAGACACTGATTCTGATGAAGAGGATCAGAGCTATGATATTGATGGTGCTGATGACCAGAAAAAAGGACCACGAAAGTGGATGAGCATGAGGGAGTGGTTTGCATACCGTTTAATGGATAGAGACATGGAAGGTTCACTGATATTATTGGCACGCAGGTTATTCCAACAATTTTTAGTAGATGGTTACAGTGCAGTTAAAGATGGAAGAATATTTTGGATTAGAAGAAATCAAAGAAATCTTCGATGTGAGACATATGAAAAGATTAGAAAGTCACTCGAAGATGGAACTAATGATGCGACAGATGTTGGTTAGCGAGTTATAATACCGTCTTCATTTACAGGAGGTGAGCGATGGAAACGTGAAAATTATATAGATGCAATGACCATAGTGAAGACTTTTGGTTATCCAGATATTTTTATAACCTTCACTTGCAATAACAAGTGGCCAGAAATAGTTAAATATTGCTCAAAATTAGGATTGAGGTCTGAAGATAGACCAGATATAGTTTCAAGGGTATTTATGATGAAGCTGAATAGATTGATGAAAGAGATGAAAGACAAACATATATTTGGTCGTCAAGTAGCAGGTATGAACAGGTTTTAATAGTTTTTTTAAATTTCATGCATTATTTCTGCAAATAATAATTATTTAATAACACGAACATACGAATCCTATTTTATTATACAATACAGCTCTATACACTGTAGAATATCAGAAGAGAGGTCTCCCTCATGCCCACATAGTTGTTTGGTTAAATCGGGATGACAAATTATCAAAACCAGAGGATATAGACAAATTCATTAGTGCTGAACTGCCTAATAAAGATGCTGATCCCATGCTGTACAATATCGTTACTGAGCTAATGATTCATGGACCATGTGGTATGGAACATCCTTATAGTCCTTGCATGGTGAAGAATGAATGCTCAAAGAAATTTCCTAAAAAATGGAAGGACGAAACAACTATAGGTGATGATGGATTCCCTGTTTATAGAAGGCGTAATGATGGAAAATCATTTGAGAAAAATGGGGCTACTATAGATAACAGATGGGTTGTAGGTTACAATCGGTATTTGACACTAAGGTTTCATGCACATATCAATATTGAATGGTGCAATCAAGCAGGTGCTATTAAATACCTATTCAAATAGTTGAACAAGGGTTCAGACAGAGTTTCTTTCAAATATACTGTCAACGGAGAAGTTATCACTGAAAATTATGATAAAGCTCCAAAGGATGAAGTGAAAGATTGGTACGAAGGCAGATATTTATCTGGTTGTGAAGCTGCTTGGCGTATGTTTGAATTCCCAATACATCACAGGACACATCATGTTGAACGATTAAGTTTCCATATGCCTGGTCATCAAAGTGTAATATACGATGAAGACCAGACAATTGAATCTGTTATCAGTAGAGCTTCTAACAGAGAGTCAAAGTTCACTGCATGGATGGAATGTAACAGCATACACTCTGAAGCAAGACACCTTACGTACATAAATTTTCCATCCAAGTTTGTCTGGAAAAGAAAGGACAAAATGTGGAAGCCGAGGAAAAGAGGTAATAGCATTGGCTGGATTCATGGTGTTCCTATAGCTGCTGGTGAACCTTATTATCTAAGAATGCTTCTTAATATTGTTAAAGGTCCAACATCTTATGAAGAAATAATGACAGTAGATGATATAGAATACACTTCTTTCAAAGAAGCTTGCTTTGCTAGGGGTTTACTGGAAGATGATAAGGAATACATAGATTGCATAATGGAAGCATCAACTTGGGGTTCAGCAAGTTACTGCAGACATCTTTTTGCAGAGCTTTTGGATGGAGAAATTATTTCTAAACCTGATCATGTCCTAGAGTAGACTTGTACATTGAAGATATACCATTTAAATTAAAGCGTTTGTACATGAATGAAGGTATATTTTATTCCGATTTATTATTTTAAGTTTCTTTATCTGTTTAAACATTATATATCCTGAATTAATTAAATGTGATTTGTTTCTTTTCTTATTACTGTTATTACCCATAAACATTGTTACACACAGATTACGTAGTGTCCGAAGATGAGAAGAAAATGCATGCATTGAAAGAAATTGAGTTTATTCTACGGATTCATGGTAAATCCCTGAAGCAATTTCCTGGAATGCCGTATCCAGGAGATGTTTTCATTGATGATGGAACTAATACCATGATTCATGATGAATTAGACTACAATAGATCAGAATTGAGAGAAGAACATGATTTGCTATACGGAAATTTGACTGATGAGCAGAGGGAGATTTACAAACAGATTACAACTGCAATTGAAAGAGGTAAAGGAGGTTTGTTTTTCATTTATGGTTACGGTGGGACTGGAAAGACATATGTCTATCGCACACTTTCAGCTGCCATTCGAATGGAAGGCGAAATTGTGTTAAATGTTGCATCAAGTGGCATTGCTTCGTTGTTGTTGGTTGGTGGAAAGACTGCACACTCAAGATTCCAAATACCAATTGACATTACTGAAGAATCAACATGTACCATCAAACCAGGAAGTGATTTGTGTGCTTTGGTTATAAGAGCAAAACTTATTATATGGGATGAGGCACCGATGGTACATAAACATTGCTTTCAAGCACTGGACAGGACACTAAAGGATATATTATGCCGTACAAATCCAGAAAGTGTAGAACAACCATTCGGAGGAAAAGTTGTTGTTCTCGGAGGTGATTTCAGGCAGATATTGCCTGTGATTCCTAAAGGTACAAGAGCTGATATTGTCAATTCTGCAATAAACTCTTCGTACTTGTGGAGATATTGTAAGGTACTAAGGTTGACTGTTAACATGAGGCTACGTGTTGATTATACAACAAATAATCATGATGAAATACGTGAGTTTGCTGACTGGCTGCTAAAAATCGGAGAAGGAAAGGTAAATGAACCAAATGATGGTGAAGCTGAGATTGAATTCGCAGATGATGTCATTATACAGGAACCAGGAGATCCTATCAAAATTATTGTTAAGACTATATATCCAAACTTATTAAATAATCTTGAAAACCCTATCTAGTTCCAGGAAAGAGCTATTTTAGGACCAACACATGAAGTTATTGATAAGGTCAACGATTACATGACAGGTTTATTACCTGGCGAAGAACGTGAATATCTCAGTTCAGACACTATGTGTAATTCTGAGCATGGAGGTGAATCAGATCAGGGTATATACACTCCCGAATTCCTCAACAGTATAAAGGTTTCAGGTCTTCCCAATCACAGATTGGTACTAAAACGTAATGTTCCAATCATTCTACTTCGTAACATTGATCAAAGGTTAGGAATGTGCAATGGTACTAGACTACAGGTTACACGTATGGGACGTTACGTGATAGAGGGGAGAATTATATCAGGAAGCAATATAGGTCATGTTGTGCCTATTCCCAGGATGAAAATAATTCCATCTGACAGGAACATTCCTTTCAAAATGAAGAGGAGGCAGTTTCCCATAGCAATATGTTTTGCTACGACCATTAACAAAAGTCAAGGTCAGTCTCTTTCTACAGTTGGACTTTACCTACCACGACCAGTTTTCAGCCACGGCCAGTTATACGTTGCTCTGTCAAGGGTAACTTCTAAACAAGGATTGAAAGTGCTGATTTGTGATAGTGAAGGTACAAGATCAAATAAAACTATGAATGTCGTCTACAAGGAAGCTCTTCGTAACGTTAGGTGAAATTAGTTGTTTTAAATTTTTGTTTTATAACAGAGAATGTTACAGTTCCTTTTTTTT